AGGATTTAGGGAAGTGCTGAGGGAGGGAAGAGAAGGACATGAACCTCACAGAATGAATTTATATTTCTTCCACACCCCCAGAGTCCAAGATAGTTGCAGTTTCCAGAATAGTTCTGCGTAGGAAAACTACAGCTTTGAAGAGCCAATTTAGATGCTTTATTTAGACACTTCTTTCAACCTGATCTGTTCTGCAACTTGGATTTATATTCCTGGGCTCGTTCAGTCTGTTGTGTGCTTTCCCCCAGTGTCACCTGGGTGTTTGCTCTTTGCCCTCTCCAGCTGTGGAGGTGGAAAAGCTGCTTTGGTTTGCAGTTCACACCTCTGCTTACAGACACAAACAGAATGGCAGATGCTGATTTGAGGGATCTACTTTGTGTCACTTCCACTTCTGTTTTTTCAGGCAAATATAGCCCTGATGGAAAAATATAGCCTGGGTTTGTCTGGGAGTCTCTGACTGAGATTCCTCCCCCTTTATCTGTGCACAGGCACAGTCACAAACTGCAGTGACACCACGTAGCTCTGCTGCCTTGGCCACCTTTCTGAGCCACCCACCCCTCAGTGCTGCCTGACTGTGATGACAACCTGACACAAAACACATCCCAAACACACACCAGGGGATTCACACCCTGGGATCCTTTTTGGGTTCAGGCCTCAGAACGCCCCACACTGCACATCCCTCCTGTGATCACCCCGTGATTCCCCCACTGCCACGTGCTCTGGGTGACACCTGAACAACAATGCTGCTGCCTTCTCAGGGTTATTTCTTAATTAACTGATATTTTTTGAAGAGAAACTCCAAGATAGACTGCGTGTTTGTGGTTTGATTCTCTTCTTTCAGCAAGCACAAAAATAATTCAAAATGAGCTGGGAATTGTCTGTTCAGAATATGGCTGCTAGGAAACACTTCATAACAAAAAATAAGTGTTAATAAAGCCACAATAAAGGAAACACCCAGGAAACTGAGAACAAGGACTGCAGGTTATGGAGCATGACGTTAAAGGTCTGTGAGATTTCTCCATATTTGGGGGTCTCAAACCACCACATTTCCTTTTGGGGGGAAAATATGGAGGAAAAAAGGGTCCAAGGTTTGCAAGCTGTTTGATGGGCTGTCCTGGGAACTTGTTCCCAGCTGAGCTGTGCTCCTACCTGGAAGGTTGTTGATGTAGCCTCCATCCATGAGGAGATGCCCATCCTTGGGGTCACACAGGGGGGGCATGTACCCCGAGAGGGACATGCTGGCACGGACATACCTCCACAGGGAGCCTGCAGGATGGGAGGGAGGGATGGAACCAGCATTAATGACCCAGCACGAGTCACTGCCACAGTGGGGAGAGGCTTGTGCACTCATTAAAATAATCAGGAGGCAGAGGCTTTCCTCAGAACACTGCGAGGAACTTATTAAAGCAGTTTATTATTTTCTATACCAAAATCCTGGCTAGGAAGAAACCAAGATTATGCAAACACACTATCAGGTAAAAGCCCCAGAACCCAGAGTTTCAAGCCCATGCCTCATATTTACTGCCTTCAAGATCTCAGCATATGCCTGACTGCAGGAATCATCTTCAGGGCTTTGTGGGGCTGAGGCTGATAAGGGCAGGGAAAGGCTCCTCCTGGGGACAAGGGGACACACAGAACAAGTGCAGCTAAAGCCATTAAGTTCTACAGAGATCCACAGACTTTTAGCAGGACCTGAACATGAAAAATACATGCTGTAAAAGCCCAAAAATTCTCTCTTCCCTCCTCTGTAACAAGCAAATGTTTTTTCTTGTGAAACCACTTCAAGTGCTTGGTGGGGATCACATCTCCTCTTGGACCACTTCTGTCAGTGCTGTAAGGAACTAAGTTATCATCCTTTAAGCTGGTAGAAAAAAAGTTTAATCAAGCAGAAATGGATTGGATCTGTTTCCTCTAAAACATTCTACTTTAAGGCTCTTAAACATTGATTCTTCTCTTAACATTTGCATCAGCTGAATTGGGAAGACACTGCATTTCCAAGGGGCCTTGTCTGAGAAGTGAATCTTTAAAATATCAAGAGTAAGTGAGCCTTGCAGTGTTGGCTCAGTGCTCAGTAATTAACTGCCTGGTGCTTCAAACAGCAACTCTTCCCAGCAAACTGGGAACTGATTTTTTCTTTTTCAAACAGATCACAGTTCTGTTTCTAATTATAACCCCAGCACTCCTACTGTTAGCACAGGTTAACACTGCCAGATTTGGGGTTTAGTACGAATAGTTTGAGTTGAGTTGGAAGTTCCACCTAAGAAAAATGCTGACTTTTTGTGTTACACCTCACAGACCAAACCAAGATGGGAAGTGACAGCAGCTGGCAACTTAATTCCTCTCCCTTCAGTGAATCCTGAAGATGACCATAAAGATTCTCCAGCTGATTTCTCTCCTTATATTAAACTTCCACAGGGACAAGCAGCTGGATGGAGAGACTTTCTTGACCTCAATTTGCTTAACCTGCTGTGGAATGGGAATACAAAGCCCCTAAAGGGAGTTAATCCTTTTTCTGCTTGTTTTAGCTGCCCTGGTTGCCCCTGATCAAAGCCCCATGTCCTTCAGGGGCTTCCTGCTCCTGAACAGCAGGAGTGGACAGTCCTACCCCAGCCAGCTCCAAGGACAGAACATCAGAGACGTGGCAGCAAAGGCTTCAGCTCCCCAAGGGAATATCTGGGGCACCTGGAGGCCTGTGCTGCCTTCAGTGAGTCTGAGTCACTGCCCTGTCACCCCAAATAGACAAAAGCCAAAGCCAGTGTCCCACAGGGATGTCACCAGGTCAGCAGCTCGGATATTTCTCCCTGCTCACTCACTGAAGTACATCAGTTTTCCTCCAGAGAAATAAGGACTGGCCACAGATGAGAACCTAAGCCAGCCTCTGCTTCAGGCACAGAAATCTGTTCTTGGGGAAAACAGCCTTTTTTTTTTTTTTGTAATGTGGAATTTGAATCTTAAAAGGTTTTGATTGCATTAAGTCTGATTTGTGGCTAAAACACCTGCACTTCAAGGGATGATCTAAGGAAACAGAATGGTGCCAATGGGCCCATTTTCTCCCCAAACAGTGAATTCAGCATCTTGTTTAATGCCTTCCCCACAGCTCTCTTCCTTGTTACCTGTGTACAACCCCAGTTTGGAGCTCAGCAAATAACAGAGAAGGGAAAAACAAAAGGAAAGACAGATTTAAAGGTGAGGAAAATTCCAGGCATAAGGAGTGACCCTGAAGCCTCACATCACAATTTAAGACCTGGAGAGGGTCAACTGCATACTCACCATCCCTGTGGACCCTCATGGCTGAGGCAGTGATGTCAGTGGTGATGGTGAAGTAAGGAATCCACAGATCCTGCAACACAGGAGGTCCCAATTTTAGTAAAGCTAAAACCTTGCACTCACCTACCCCCCCTGCCTGACACAAACCAAAGCAACAACCTCTGGATATTACCAGACAGAGCTGCAAACACCTGCATGGATGGAGGAACACCCCTCAGCCCTGTGTCTGAGTTCATGCATTTGTTTCTTATGCAGACATTTCATTCAGAACCAAGGCAGATAAAAATCCTTATTTCCCTTTTTTTTTAGTAGAAGAAGCCCTTGTTCCAGCAGACTGTCCAGCACAGAGAGGCCTCCTCACTCAAACCAGAGGTCACCTTCTGTGTGATGTCTTTATTTTCCTCTCAGGAAGGGTGGGGGTTTGATGGCCCCACTCCCATCCAAAGGGATCCTGAGGCTGTTTGGTGCTGGAGGACAAGGTGAAGGGAAGACTCACCTTTTAGATGTTTGGTTCTTATCTAGGTCACAACACCTGCTGCTTTTGGCCTCCCCTGGGGACATGGCACTAAGCAAGAGAGATCTCTGACCTCACCAGTGTGGCCCCTGCATTGCAACCAACTGGTTCCACTCAGGGGATGTTTGTCCCCCATTCCCAGCAAGTCTCCCATGATCATGTTCTCCATGGATCAGTGTGCAAATATTGACTTCCCCAACCCCAACCTGGGCAGCATCTTCCCTGCCTTGGTCCCTGAGACTCCACAGCCCAAGGCAAAGAGGGAAGAACATGATTTATGGCCTCGTGGCTGAACAATTTGTACCTCCTGGTGATTTGAGGGGGCCAGGGGGCATTTGAGTGGGAAATGCAGATCCAAAGCTGGCAACACCAACCTTTGGAGCATGAGCTGCAGGAACAAAGGATCCTGCAAGGCACATCTCCAAGAAGATCCTAGAAGTTGAATGAGACCCTGTAGGGTAACACAGCAGAGGAGTGTGGAACAGAAGAAGGAGGGTGAGATACAAAAAGAATGGCCAAGCCAAGTAAGTGCTTTGTGTAAGTTTATTCAGCAAGACCAGATCAAAGCAGCCAGCCCTGCTCCTGGCAGGGGAAGGTCTCCTTTCAGCCATGTCTGCACTGCACTCACATCCTGGAAAAAGCAAATGGAATGGTGACCTGCCCCCTGCAGAGGGGTTTGCTGGAGGGAGGGCAGTGTTGGAAAGTCTCCATGGTGTCTGGTGAAACGGTAGCTGGGAAGGGGAAGGAGCAGGACTTGTCTGAGTAAACTGAGCTTATCCCAGAGAACAGCTGATGCTGCTCTGTCAATCAGCAAAGCTGAAACAACACTGAAGAGGAAAATCTGCCTTCCCAGCTGGCCTTTGTTCCTGGGGCAGTGTCTGGGCCTCCTGTAGCACAGCCTTGACGGGGCTTAAACTCCAGTTAACTGGGTTTGGACTCCAGTGCCAGTAGGAGCTGGAAGCCCTCCCTCACTGGTCAGGCTGTAACTCCTGCTGTGAGTTTCTGTGCTGTTCAATCTGAAATTCTGCACTGCCATGAAACAGGTTTATTTCTAGAGAGTTTAATCTCTTCAGCAGCTCTGCAAAGATGGTGGGGCTGGGGAGGACTCACAGATGCTGCACCAGTATCACAACCCAGCTGGTGTAAATGCCAGAGGAAGGAGGATGAATAAAGTGTGACTATGGGAGTATTAGGGTGCCTCTCCATGCTGAAGATATTCTGGAAATTACAGATCCCAGTGTATCAACCATGTTTTAAGTAAAAAGAGGGGAATGGGGAAAGAAGCCTCTCTGACACGTCCTTTCAAACACCTGCCCAGAGGAAATGAACCCAAGCCCTACCAGCAGGAATAAAGATTGCATTGCTCAGGGATCCTTCCACTGGTCTGAAACAGGACTTAATAAAACCTTGTCTGGTTCCTCACACATTAACCTCCAGCTTACAACAGCACTTTGGCACAAGGATAAAAATTCTGGCATGGAAAGTAAAAATTCCAGAGCCTGGTGTTCTCCCAAAAAGGATGGATGGTTTCAGAGGAAAATAACTGTATTTCTTGAGAAATTTCCTTCAAGCCCCTTATCCTTGGTTTCTGTGTCCCAGTGCCCTGTCCTGGTTTTCCATGTGCCCTCGGAAGGACGTGCAGAGCCTGATCCCTGCTCGGGGAGCACCCCTGGCTGGCAGCTGCTGCAGCAGTGATGGGGGTGGTGTCACCAGGGCTCCCCCACAGGCAGCACTGCTGGGAATTCAGAGACACCCACATTGCAAGGAAGGGTTGGCAAATTCGGGAGAAAATGGAAACCTCCCTTTCGGTGTCAGAAATAACAGCTCAGCGTAAGCACTTCTGCTCCTGGCTCTGGTGCAGGAGAGGGAGGAGACACGTGTGTGTCACCTCACAGCCATGGGCAGCAAAAAGCAGGATCCAGCTCAGTGCTTCTTAATTTGAAGCTTTTACAGAGGGAGGGTCAGGACCCACCCAGCCCCTCGGGGAGGAAGTTCCCAGGTGCTGCTACAACCCCTGTGGATCCTCCAGGGAAGGAGCAGTTGTGGATAAGCCTCCAAACACACCCTCTGCTTGTCAGGCTGTAATTAACTCTTACATTATTAATACCTATTTCCAGCTGGAAATCACTGCTACCCACCCAAACCCACTGCAACTCCTGAGAAAAGATGGATGTCTGCAGTTTGGATGCTTTAAATAGTGCTTTGACAAAACATTTGTTCAAGGCTTCATGTTTCCTAGTGCAGCTCCTGTGACTTCCTCAGTCACCCTTTACCCTTGGGCAGCTCCCAGTTCTTCTGCCCAGTGCCAGGACTGGTTATCCTGTGCTGAGAGTGGGAATTGCAATGAAGGAATAACTGCCTTTTCCTGGCTGAGCTACACAACATTTGTCCTCATTTATCTGAGGGAAGTTCCCACAGGAGGAAACCTCTGGGCATGAGGGGTTTTGCTGGTGATGCCCAGCACAGACTCACAGAGGTGATGCTGTTGGATGTCCCAGAACTGGTGTTCTCTTGGACAAAACCTTCCTGTGACTGCAAGGGTAGAACAGAACATGCAACTACAGGTGCTACAGTTCCTAAGGAAGGAACCTGCTGCATCTTAAAAGGGAAGTACAATGAACTGACTGCTGGAATCCAAGCAGTGACAGATAGAAATGGCCTTGAGCTGTGCCAAGGAAGGTTTAGGTTGGGTAGTAGGAAAAACTTCTTCATGGAAAGGGTGGTCAGGCATTGGAACAGGCTGTGGTGGAATCATCATCCCTGGCAGTGTTTTAACATGTGCAGATGTGGCACTTGGGGATGTGGTTGAGTGGTGGCCTTGGCAGTGCAGGGGGAATGGCTGGACTCCATCTCAGAGGGCTTTTCCAACCTAAACAATTCCATGATTCCATAGAGCAGGGACACCTGAGCTCAGAGGAGATTTTCTTCCACGTTGTCCCTCTCTCCTCAATGCTCTGCTCAGTTATCCCCCAGTCCCACCCTGCCCTGCCCCACCCAAACTCACTCCAGGGGAACCCAGAGGGGAAGGGGAGCTCTGAGGGCTCTGCCTGAGGCCAGGAATCCACATCCAAACAAGTGCAGAGGAGCTGGACAGTCCCTGGGCAATCACATGTTTTCCACCAGGCACTGCTGAACCAAAGATAGGAGCTGGAGCACTGCAGGAAGGGACCCACATGATTTTGGGTCTGCCCAAACAACATCACAAAAATAATCCCAGTCTCTGAAGGATTTATCACTCCCAAACCTGTTTGTTTCCAGCACCATCCCCTCTGCACAACAAACTGCTATTTTCAGCCATGTGATGATTAATCACTTACTTTCATACTTTCACTTCAGTAGGGAATGTTTTGGATTATTTTTAATAAATATATTTAAAGTCTGTACAGTGTTGATTTGCTACATAACCTTTCATCACAAGGATTCCAAACACAGGAATAATTCGGTTAAAATTGAAAATGAGGTAAGACTGCCAGGCTATGCAAACACTCCCTAAGCTGGGTGATCCAGGAAGACAAACATGGATAATGTGCTTCACAATCTGCTGCTGCTGAGGGACAAAGGACAGGTGGGGCTCCCAAGGTGGCTGTTGGCTCAGGTGGACCTGTCAACACCCAGCAACTGCAGAAAGGTCACCAAGGGCAAACCAGGACACAACACACTCTGCCATTGCTGCAGTTCTCAGCAGGCTGCTCAGAAAAACTCATTCCAGCTTCAAAAATGAAATTTTTAAAAAAGCCAAACCCAATGCTACCCAATTCAAGCCCTTCTATGGTGTGCCCTGAAGGTCTCTGAAGACCTGATTTGCAGAAAAATAATGATGAAACAGTCCAGCAATTCTCCTACAGGTGTCACGAGTGTCACTTGTGCTCTCAGACAATGGGATCCCTTTGTCAAACAGAAGTGGCTACAAATAATCTACAACTTGTGCTTCCTAAATCCACCAAAAAGAAAGAATAGGCTCCTTCCTATAGTCATGTAACATCACATTCACACTTCCACCATATTTTTAGCCATCCCACAGCCCCAGATTCCTTATTAGCATGGAAAAAAAGCTATTTCTGCTCCAACAGAACACAGTGACATCATTTCCTAAACATGAGGTGAATAAGCACCTACCTCTATCTGCTTATCTTTGAAGATGTTGTTGATGCTGTTGTTAAAAGCTGCTCCAGAAAACATAGAGGTTATTGGATAGGTCAGGTCTAAAATAGTCTTAAACACTGAGTTCATAACCTAAAAAATAAACAACAAAAAAAGGTATTTCAGAGGTAAATATAGGGCAGAATCCATATGAATGTGAGCATTAATGGCTGCAATTCCAGAGACATCATATTCCAGAGTTTAGAGCTGACATGCCAGAAGCATCACAGGTGTGAGTGCAGAAGGTGCAGAGGGGGCAGAAATACACCTGCAAAAACCACAACCAGGAGCATCTTGTGTGGTACAGAAACAGAAAACCAAAAGCAGCAGCAACCTCAGCAGCCAGTCTGCAACAAAGCTGGAAAAATGTGCATTGTGTTGCTTCCCTGGTGCCCCAAAATCAGCCCATCCACAAAGCAGCAGCTCAGCCTCTGCACATGCACATGGATGGTGCAGCTTTATCCTTCATCATTTGTTAAACAACAGAAAGATATTATGAGTTATCTCCCTCTTCACCATCCTTGCTGCTGGTTCAGCAGTGTGGGAAGGAAACCATAAATCCACAGCAGAGGAATCCATCCCTTAGTCCATCTCCTCTCATTTGGGGTCACACCTCATTTTTCTCCCAGTCTGGAAGCTTTTCTCTGCCTCAGTGTTTAAGCACCTAGAAAATCGTGTCTGGGCTTCCTTGGGACTGAACAATGTTCACTCAGCCACGTGTCACAGAGCTCTGAACACTTTCCATGGCTCAGGGTGGATAATCTGCCATTCCAAACTGAGATATTTGGTTATGTATGTTAGGGACTCAGCATTTGGATACTGCTACAATATCTCTGCACGAGCCAGAGAAACCAAACCCCATCAGGATTCTTAAGGCATTATAAAGCCCTTTTACAGCACACACCAGGCATTGTGTCTCTTTAAACACACATCTATTGGAATTAAGCTTTCATGGGGTTCTTTTTTCTCCATTTCAACAGCATTAATACACCTGTGCACTAACCTATTAGATAAAAGGATGAAAATCCCTGACCTTTATGGCATTATGACCATTGTATTTGTCTATAACCGGGGTACTGGTGTCAAATCCTAATAAATCCTAACAAAATTTGCTGCTTTATATATATTGCATCACAGTTAAAATGTAATAGATGACAAAAAAACCCAATTAATCCCTTCCCAATTAAATTGGGTTTCACTGGGCGAAATATTTCTATTGGATGAAGTATCTTCTCTCTCTACATGTTCTCTATAACTTAACAAACAACTTCCCAGAGAGCAGGGAATCATAGCCAGGCACAGAACATGGAACAGCCTCAAACCTGCTGTTAAAGCAGCTGTGAGCAACATCTGGCCTTGGCTTCACTCTAACAGTGATTTAAAGAGCAGCAGGATTAGCTGCTTTTAAATATATATATAGGGGATCTGCCCAGAGAATACATGCCCAGGTATAAAAAAAAAGATCCTTAAAAACAAGTATATGAACAGGAAATGTGGGAGAATGTAAAAGCCTGAGCACAAACCCAATTATGAACAGTCAGCTTCATTCACATCTTCATTTGGGGTTTGAAGGGGTGAGTACAGACATGCTACCCACAGCTTCAGAGTGAAATGGAATTACTTCTGTACTTAAAATAGGGCTTAGGTCTCTGACAGTAGTCACAATGATTAGATCAGGGGAAGAGGCATTTACAAAAAGCCCTTTATTTAATACTGAAGAAAAACCTCTCCCACTCAGCACCAACCACTTTCCTTTCAGCAAATGATATTTCTGATGCTGAGCCTCTACATTTCCCCTGCAACTAATGCCCACAGTGAGCTTGTCCATGAACAAAATACTTCTAATGAACAGTTATTCCTCAATATTCTCATAGCTGGAAGATGCCCTTCCAGCTGATGCTGATGCCAACAGCCTCCCTCAGCCTTCCAAGCATAGCTGCTCCCACCTCCTATTCCCAGATAAATCAAGTTTAAGGTCACCCTCTGGAAAGGCAGATGGAGCCTCCTGGTTCTTGCTCCACTTCCTACCAAGAGCTCAAGGGCCATGGGCAGGGACACCTTCCACCAGCCCAGGTTGCTCCAAGCCCCATCCAACCTGGCCTTGGACACTCCCAGGGATGGGGCAGCCACAGCTTCTCTGGGCAACCTGTGCCAGGCCTCCCCACCCTCCCAGGGAAGAGTTTTTTCCTAATTTTTCATTAAATTCCCATAATTTTTTTTTCTACAGCTCTGCTGCAAGGTGAGCTTTCTTTTAAAACAGACCTTCAATCCTAAAACCTTTTATTAAAGTGACCCTGGGGTTCAAAGCAGCTTCAGCAAGGAAGGGACAAGGTTCTGCTCACACAGCAGAAGGACAAGAGCAAACACACGGGATGGGGGACAAGAGGAATTTTCATCTCTGGCTATTTTGGGGTTTGATAGTAAACTGTGGTAAACTGGTGTCAAAACCCAAGACAATCCTGGTATTTTTTTAGTGTTCCTGAGTCTATAAAAAAAAGCAAAGGTATGGGAAAACCTGTCGCAAGACCAAAAATTTAAAACAGTTTAAAAAATTAAAACCACTTTAAAAAATTTCCAATATTTTTTTTAAATTACTCCAGAGAGCATCCAGATTTTCCTTTAGTGCCTCCTCAGCGTTCCTGTATAAAGTTTTAATGATAAAAGCAAAGGAATTCACACAGGAAAACGTTAAAGACAAAATAAAAACATAACTCAGGGCAACGGTTTCAGGTAAACAGCACTACAGGGATAGATTTATCCTGAAGGTAGGAATTACAGATCATGGGAGTTCAGATTTAAAGGCAAACTATTAAGAAATCTAAGAGTTTAATAAAATTAGAATGAATCCAAGACACCATAGGCACCTCTGAGGCAGGTAAAGGTGAGAAACGGATGAGGAGGTAGGGGTATGTTTAAATCAGATTTAGCCATTCTGTTAAATAGGGTTAATATTCATTAGCATCCCATCTGCATGATCATTAGTGATGTGATCACTGCAGGGTCAGACTAGGATGGTTTGGGGCCTCAGCTGGGCACTTCAAAGCAACAGGCACGTTGGGATTTTGCAGGCAGCCTTTTACCTGAATTTCCCAAATTCCAACTCTGAATTAGGGTTAACTTCAACACCCCAAATAACACAACTTAAATGGCAAATATGAACCAGACCACTACATAAAAGAAGATTTTTCTTATAGCACTTAATATTAAAAAAAATAAAATAAAATTAAGATTTAACAAAACACACCCAGCACTTTTTGTCTTCTGTGGTTAATCCTCTGAAATGCAGAATTCCCTGTGCAGAGGGAACACTCCAGCTGGCTGAGCCAAGGGAAAAGCAATCTGCCCTGCTCTAATTGCTGGCTGGAGAGCAGCCTGGGGAATCAAACTTCCCAACTGCTCGAGGAGGTTTTAGAGATGCAATTCCGAAGTCCCAGAGCTCTGCTGTGCCCCTGGCAGGGGGACACTGTCCCCGAGCCCCAGCAGCTGCACCCAGGGCAGGGTCTCTGCAGCTCAGGGACACCCAAGGCAGGGTCTCTGCAGCTCATCAACCCCAGGGAAGAGACAATATGTGCCTGTTAATTAACACACGACCTGTAACGAACCTCTGAGTTATTCTGGATTCACTGGGTGTGTTAAAGCTGCTCTAGCCCCTGTTCCCTCCTGCTGTGCCTGACCCAGTGCTGAACAGCCCCCAGCACTCCTTCACCCAGGGACTGGCACCAGTTCCCAGCTGATCTGGGCTCAGGAGGTGCCTTTCCCACACCATCCTGCCCGTTCCTTGTGCCCACCCAGCCTGGCAACGTTTCCCTGCTCAGCTCAGATCCTGGGTTTGTTTGCAGGGCTCAGAGCTGTTGTTGTACATAAATTCTGGCACAGGAACCAAATCAGAGTGTGGGATGAGAAGTGATGTACGAAACACTGCACCTCCTAATGATCCTCCTCAGCAAAGAGACCATTTGTGGGCATCCCACCCTCCCCACCAGCCCTGCTCCTGAGCCCCACGCTGCTCCTCCACCTTCCCAATCCATCCCCACGCTGCTCCTCCACCTTCCCAATCCATCCCCACCCTGCTCCTCCACCTTCCCAATCCATCCCCATGCTGCTCCTCCACCTTCCCAATCCATCCCCACGCTGCACCAGGTCCCACAGGGGCTGTG